TATCTAAATACTTACATATAATACTTACACATTGGCATTGCATCTCCTCGACGTTAAGATAAATAAAGGTAGTTACTTTATCTTTGTAATTGTGTTTATCTAAATACTCAATTTTGTGTATTAGCTAAATACTCAATATTGTAATTTTGCTTTCTTAGGGTATTATTTTCTTACTTTTAGTGAAGAAATAAAATTTCTTGTAAAATAAGCAAAATAAATGATTAATCTACTCGTTCTTGGAGCAATATGGTACTAGTGAAGATGCATGAAGAGTATTAATTATTCTTAAACATTGCCCTTAAGGCAATGGTTAGCAAAACCAAATTTGTTTAGTTAGCTACTTAGATTAGTGCTAGGGGACGATGTTGTTGTTTAATCATTAACAGCAAAATAAATTTTTCTTTTTTCTTTTTTGCATTACTTATTAGAGATCTACTTAGAATAACTCAGCCAATTCAAATCTCTAATAAACTCATATTCACACTCCATTTTAGTCAATCTTGGACTAAATGGATTCTAACATATCACCACACTTCATAGTCGCGGTGCCCGTGCAAAGTACTGGTCTAACACCAGAGAATGATTTTGGTGATCTACTGATTTTTTGTTAAGAGACCTACAAGAAATCACTTCTAAAAGCTAGACACAAGAGGGATGAAATCTTTATCTCAATGTGACTACACATCCTAATATTATTACAATATGCACAGTAAGGTATACTCGTCTACTATAAACACTCATGAATATTGCTATTTCTTTATTAAATTAATTACCAAGCATGTAGTATGATGAGACGAAAAAATATATTCTTTAATTTGGCCTATTATTTTGAGTCAATAAATCCTTCAAAGTTAATCTATTTTTAGTTAATTTTTAGGTGTGTTTGTCAACAGAGTGTAGCAAATGCTCTTATTTTGATACTCATTGAAGATATCAGAAATAATACTCAGTTGGAAGTGCCGTACTCATTTATATTATATATACTATATATATAACTATCTTTATTATATATAGTATATATATATATAATATATATATTAGAGAGAGAGAGAGAGAGAGAGAGGATGAGAAAATGGGAAACTTGTAACCAAGTTATTCCAAGCAACTTTGTATGTCGATGATGTGGCCTAATGCCGGTCCTACATCTACATTGGCAGTTTGGGAAGGTAGTTTGAGGTTTTATCTTCGGAGGTGTGATGTAGGGGCTAGATTAGGTGCACATCACTGTCAAGTTGCTTGAACACAACTTGATACGACCCAGGTTCTCCCCATGTTCTCTCATAATATATATATATATACGTATATATATATATATATATATATATATATATATATATATTATATATATTATATAGACACACACACCGGTATTCTTTATATTATGAGAAATCGATCTCTAGCAATAGACTAATATCAAGCAGACAAATACACATGGATATACGTGCGAGGAAGGAGAATAGTTTCAGTAAATTGTGAAGAATACAGTGTTAAAATCTCTCAATCACTCAATTTCAAATACACCCCAAAAAACCCTACACAATCTCTCTCAAGAGGATGAACAAAATAGAGAGCCAAAACCTATAAATAAAAAAAAGGGCTTCTTAAGAGAACATTGTTCTCTGGTTTTCAGATTGATGTGGTAACCGCAGCTACGAGGTTCGGATGACGTATGTAGCAAAAGATCCTGATTGCTTCTTTGATACAGCAGCAGAGTTGAAGTCGTGACCAATAAGAACTCAACTAGGTGTGGAAATTTAGGTGCATGAAAAAGTTATAATTAAACTCTTTGTCTTTTATCCATCGCCCAATAGGAATTGATTATCCCCTTAATAATAAGATTTTGAAATAATCTTGTCAGTTAGCACCTCCTTAAGCAAACAAACTCATGTTGCAGATAAAACTCAAATTCGTCTCGTATTTAAGTCATACTAACACTTTAGTATTTAGATCATAATTGGAGCTGGGATAAGCCAGTTCGGGTTCTGATTTTGGTTGGACAAAAAGGGTAATTAAAAAGGACAAGAAAAACTAAGATTTGAGCTTTTCATAGTGTTGATAGCATATATCATATTGTGAATTAATTTTTTGGAAAATAATGTTGCACGTGCGTTGCACGTGGATATATTTGTTTTATGTTCTAATACTTTACACAATTCATTATTTAATTAATGAAAGAGTTTCATTTTGAATGTAGTTATAACAACATTTGAGGACTTATTTATAATTTTCTTACAATTTAGATCATATACTTCTTTAAATCTTCTTAAGGTTTAAGTTTTGAACTATATAGGGGTTTATCTGTAAAAAATTATGAAGTTTCAGTATTTTTCTATAAATATATAGGATGCTGTTAGGGTTGTAAGAGGTGAGTATAAATCTAAATCATCAAATGAGTGAATTTATATAGCTTGCAAGTAAGGGCTATTATGATAAATAAAAAAAGCAGACTCTTTGGATTCCGTAATAGTCAAATGTAATTGCCACTTAAATAAAAACTACAATTGAAAATGTAACTCTCATTTCAAGTATGCATGAATGCATGCACTAATGGTATTTTAAGTTGATACTTTGTTGACAATTAATAGGAGAGTTATGCTATTATTAAGAATGTATGCATGTATATGTATGTGTTTATATGTATGCAAGTATGTGTTTTATGGATACATGTATGTGATTTAGAGGGTATTTTTGGAAGAAATATTTTAACATACCAACACACTTTTATAATAGTATTATATATATATATATATATATATATATATATATATATATATATATATATTTGTGCTTGGTACCAAGCATACCCATTTTTCTCATATATATATATATATATATATGGAAAAGTAAATCTAAGGTGACGCCCTAGGCTTCCCACCTAAGGACGCGGCCTAAAATCACATCATTCCCTAATATTTTTTTACGATCCGCTCCGTTGAACTTGATCTACATGTTCTTAAACTCAAACACACCAATTTTGGGGTGAACCCGTCATGTTTTGACCATTCGTTGAGTCGACCAAAAAGTTCTATTCGTTCGAAACCGTTAAAATTGCGGTGAGTGGATGAAGGGTCAAAACATGACGGGTTCACCCCAAAATTGGTGTGTTTAGATTTAAAAACGTGTAGATCAAGTTCAACGGAGCGGATCGCAAAAAAAAATAGGGAATGATGTGATTTTAGGCCGCGTTCTTAGGTGGGAGCCTAGGGTGTCACCTTAGATTCACTTTTCCCATATATATATATATATGTATGCGTGCGCACGCGCGAGAGTGTGTACATGCTTGAAAAATGATCAAACTTTACCTTTTTTTGCCTCTTAATGTACACACTCTCTCCAAAAAAAATTCTCTTTTCCCCTTGTTTTTTTATAGTGCTTGTATAAATGAAGTGACCCGGTAACATCTTATTTTTATTTTCCCCTAACTGCCTTTTTTTTGGATGAAAAAATGCCTGTACTTTAGAACAGCTAGCTATTGCTTAATTTGTTGCTACTGGAAACTAAATGTTAGGATGCCTTCAATTTTGTGGAAGTCAAGTATAAGGTTTGACCTATTACCGGACCAACCAGTTTCGTCCACTCCGGTCCATGGGCTATCTGTTTTATCTTTTTTGTGATTTTATTTCATATCTCATAAAAAATAATGCATAGACCATAAAATTAAGTAAAACAATATGCACAGAATTAGAAAGACACAAACAATGTGAAAACCAGAATTTTGTTAATGAAATGTTGACTACTTGCAGTTTCAAAGAATTTACAACTCCATGAGATATCATATACGTTTTTACCAATTCATTAAACTTGGGCGCCAGTTCCAGCCTGTATACGCATTAAGTATAAAGGCTTGATATATATATATATATATATATATATATATATATATATATAATATATAATTATATCTATATATGAGAAAAATGAGAAACTTGCGCTACCAGTTTGCGCTTCAAGCAACTGGTAATGTGAATGTGCCTAATCTTGATCCTACATCTAGCATAGGAGTTGGTGAAGGGTGGTTGATGCAATATAGCGGTCAAGATTAGCCACGAGTCACTACAACAAGTGTGTTTCTAAGCACAAGCTTGTGGTACTCAGTTCTCCATATTTCTCTCTCTTGCTCTCTCTCTCTCTCTCTATATATCTATAAAATATATATATATATATATATATATAATGATATATATATATATATATATATATATGCTCCATCTCTCTCTGCTCTCTCTCTTATAATATTATATATATATATATATATATATATATACTATATATATATATATATATATATATATATATATATATATATAAATATATATATATATATAGTAATATATATTTGCAAACTCATCTCAACTTATTTGCTCTTTGCTCTATCTTGACATAACCCACTAATTTGCTATTTCATGTCTAGATTGCTGGTTGAGGAGCTTCTGCATATGCAGGACTAGTCGAATCAGAGACCTTAGACTGTCAACACTATATCAACACCTTCGGAGATAAATAGTAGAGCGCAAAGTGTGCATGTAACGAAAATGAGTAGACCTTCTCAGCACGCTCAAGGTGCACGTAACGAAAATGGTAGACCTTCTACGCGAGCTCATGGTGCACACAATGAGACCTTGTCAATGGGCTGGGGTTGCAGAGGACGAGGACCTTGACAGCCACATTTAGTCGGATATTGAGACCGATTATGCCTAAGATCATCGTTATGATAGAGGCACACCCTCTGTATTCTTTCATGTTTACAGGGGGAAACCCTAGATGTTCAAATTTACAATTAATTTTTCCAATCAAAGGCTTCTTAGGAATGTGCTCCTCTCAGATTTTAGAAAAATATAACTTCAACAATCCGAAGACGATAAAATTAAAAAAATTTAGTAGACCCCATGTTATTTAAGAATCATCCGTAGGGCATTTTTCTGACTAAATCGTCGAAAGCATAGCTAAAGAAGCACCATAAAATTAAGGTCGGCATTGAGGAAAACTGATGAAAGGTTTTGACAAGTAGGCATTTCCTTAACTGAAAAAATTCTCTTTTTCCAAGTCAATTATACATATCATCCTTTACAAGCATTTCTACAAAGAGGGAAGAGACAAAAAGGGTGGAGATATGAAAATTGCTATCTCTGTATACTTGTAGAAAATATGATCTGTAGAAAAACAGTTACATGATCAATGAATAATTAAAAATAACATCATTATTGGCGATTATTCCTCATGTTGGAGTTCCTTATTGTTACACCATGCAAATATTTGGTGTATCCAATAAAGCTTAACTTGCCATCTGATTGCCTGATCCAGTCACGCATAATGGAATATGCCGATGGGGGAAGGTTCATTTCCTGCATAAACAATTTTAAAAGGTGTAATAACCCCAAGTAAATAGTTAATTAAACAAAAAAAAAGAATGGAGAACACATGTAAATCACAAAGTTTGAGGGGTACTATGCAAAAATACCAATCCCTTGCCTGTTCATCACCGCCTCACCACTTTGGTGGTTTGC